CCTTCATCTGCACAAAGTAGAGAAACTCTGAGTGAACTGCTGGATTATAAATAGGAAGCTACTGCATGAATAATTCACTATAGAGAGTTTCCCTGCGACTGCCTCACCTGGGCGTAGATAAGACACTGGAGCGTAGACTGTGGTGTTCCTTTCAGCACGTTGACGGCGTTGCCTTGCCACATCGACCGCAGACCACCAGCCCTCATCTCCGAAAAGCCCTGAGAGAAGGCTTTGGATCCATGAACCTGCAGAACACAGCAAATATCAGAAATATGAACTGCTTATAGAGACAGTGACAATACATGTGCAGTAACCTGAAAAACTTTGTTGAGGAAAAGAGGTACAGGTGCTATTTGAGGTCGCTGAAATATAGTATTGACAACAACTGTGAGATTTATTTATTAAAAGATGTTTATGATTTTGAAAATGTTGTTGTAGGTAATAACAAAGTGCCTAGGACATAATTTAGGCTTGTCTTCATTTTCATTGTGTCTTCTTTCCCAACACCTTGCACACAAATGAGTGCAATTCTTTTTAGCAACAAATACGTTTTAGAGAGTTTGAGAAGTCCTGTGGTGTCTTTGGAGGAGCATTTAAGATGTGAACTGATAATCTTTTGTGTAGTTTACAAAGCCACACATTAACATCTCAAACTATGAAGAACAAAAACTCAGATAAATGTTCTTTGTTGTTGTCCCGGATTGGTTGTACTGTGTCTTGAAGGTAAAGATAGCTTGTTATCAGCTAGCCTTCTTTGTTTGACTTAATTTGCCTGTTCCTGATACTTGAAGATCATTCAGTGCTGTCATCACAGTTGCTTATGCTTCTCAAATCCTTAAAAAGTTTGCTTTAGAAACAGCTTGGTCTGTATCTCATAATGTTCCTCTGTAGCTGACAAAAAATAATAATAATTACTATCTGTATTTTTTTAAGAAAATTGTGAAATATGTGCATCCAGGGCTGTCATAATATCAGATTTTCAGTACATGGCTATCATGGTCAAAATGATTGATAGAAAGATGTTTCTAAAATATCCATAGAAAATCCCCAAAAATAGGATATCAGTAAAATCCCCTTAAAGGACAACGTGCTTACATCATATCATCATTTATATAGCCTACTTTAACATGCCTCAATTTGTTCCGGGTGATCCTTTTTTCATTGGTACATATTTTATTGGCATTGCTGGAGAGAGAGACTTGAGATGTACATTGATAACGACTGTTTCTCTGTAACTGTTATACGTACTATAAAGGAACTTGGAATTGCTATCAGAATTTGTAACCACATCTAACAGTATAACTTGTTTTGAATGCTGACAGATGCTGGTTTACATCATGATATCAAAGTTAAACTGACATGAAGAAATGTTATGTCTTTGAGAAACCTTTAACGCCTGATGCTTCATGTGGTTTGGATTCTGTTGTCATAGTCTATCAGAAGGTCATTTAACCAAGCTAAACAAGCACAGATAATCTAAACTGCAAAGACCTTTGGGCTCAGATGGATGTGTTATATAGTCTAGATTTTGCTTTAGAAGATAACACATATTCACGTTTATAAGTGTATCAGATCAGATAAACTAAGAAAAGGGATGTCAGTATCTCACTCTGTAAGGACTTGGTTGGCAATCGAAGGGTTGCTGGTTAAAGTCACAATCAAAACAAAATACAGAGTAGCTGGAGGGGTGTCCTTTAGCTTCCTTCACCTAAACCGTTGAGTGCTCCATGGTGCCGAACCATCGGCAGGCTCTAACCCACTCCTTGAATGCAGTTATATTTACCTTTATGTTTATGCATGTGTGTATTTCAGGCATTTGCCCCAAAATTGGAATTTCCCCCTGGGGATAAATAAAGGATGTCTTGTCTTAAGTTCATACATGCTTTTCCCTAACACCTGACCGTGGATCTGACCTGCAGTTGTGTCTTCAGACGGTCGATGGGGGCCGTCACAGTTCGGGACACAACATCAGCCAGACCTGCTGCCAGAACAAACGTCCTCCACGCCCCAAAGCCCGACGCCTCCTCGGGGAACTCGATGGGCATGGCACGACTCTCGCCCACGTCGAAAACCTGCAGAATGGGCATTCATCATCTTCTATTCTCTGGTATTACTAACGCTGAAGTGGATGTGTCACAATTTCTGCACATCATCATCAAAAGTAACACAGTTGACCGTGAAGCTGCCAAAAAAGATCTTACCATACTGTGTTTCCATGACGACACCAGCTCCCCTATGTTGTCCACAGGGTTGAGGATGACATGGTGCAGAAACTCAGCCCAGTCCACTGTCATGGAGCTGTCCTTATCCATCCTGGAGGATTCATAAACACGTGTTGGTTTGTTTTGATCACAGACTGTAATGAGCAGCTGTGTGATTTCATCATCAAACATCATCCTAGTATTCAAGTAACCAAAAGGCACACTGATAAAGGTTTTACAAGTTTGATCATTAAGTAACTCAATTGTGATAAAGCACTAATGAGTCTTTATAATAAACATATCTCACAGTTCAGTGAGTCCAAATTGAAGGACCGTTTTAGTGCCACAAATAAATCATGTATTCTTTTATTACTACAGGTGTGTTGATATTATGATTTATAGCTAAAAGTAAGAAAGCTATATCAAAATATGGTTACAGCCTGAACTGCCTATATTACAAGAATGTATTTTTTTATTATAAAGGATGTCTGTGTCTTGGAGAAATATACCTTTTCTTTAAAGCTGCAAGTAATCAGATTTCAGTCATATTGGGCTAAATTAATATCATTATTTTATTTGACCTAGCTATTTTTTTTACGTGTAAATGACAAACATAGTATTTTCCCCACCATTTTCCTCTAAAGGAAATAAATAAATGTCATACCTTTTCCTCTTTCATCGTGATTGCTTGTTGATTTTAATATTCTAGTTTGATTTTACATATATATCGTTTTGCGTTTCACTTTCTTCTATAGTTTTAGCTTATACATTTACGAAAACATATACAAGAGTATTATATTGGGAAAGGTCTATGGTGTAAAAAACAGACTCATTTTGGAAACACTGTCAATAAACTGCTGACATGTATCAAGTAAGTGCCAATATGATAACACCTGTTTAAAGTTGTGTGTGTTTGGTCTGATCCCAGTACCCATTACTACAACTGATAAAGTCCTTTAAATACAACAAAATAATCCATGATAGTTGGATAAAAATCTTACATTTGAATAATTTTTTTTGCATTCGGCTTTGATATGACCACTCCTAACTCCTTAAACAAACATATGATGTCCTCCTGGTCAATCACCCCTGATCAGAGAAGAAATGCACATGATTACAAACAGATACGGCTCTTTGCGTTATCATATTTCAGGGAACTGATACTGTAAACTGTATGAGTGCAACGGTCAACAGGGCTGTACAGGGTGCTGTGTACCATAAACAAGGCATACGCATGTCTACTTTTCCTCTCTGACCTTGAAAATGTAATTTATTGTCATAAAAATTCACATTAATAGCTGTTTATAAAGAAGATGAACAAATTTGAAGACTCATCTTCTACATAAAACACGTTGTTATGCTATAATTATTGTAATAATAATATTCATATATGACATTGTTATAAAAATAAGAAGAGTAATGCCTAAAAAAAAGATGAAAGACTCTAAACATGTATGTTTTTAACAATACTTTTGCACTTTGTTGCATTCTCTTTTGTTTCCTTCATAAACAAAACATTATCAGACAAACGTCCCACTCACCACACTTGTTCTTGTCAAGGTCATGAAAGTGGATTTTCCATTTCCTCTCTCTGTCCATCATGTAACCGAGGAACTCTTTATAATCCAACAGGCCATCTTTGTTTTTGTCATAAGATTCAATGATATTCTAGGAGAAAGTCAGCAGGTGTGTTGATTAGTGAATGAATGAATGACATAAGGGTATAGCCTTGTGTATTGCTGTTTAGATAAATATGTATGTATTTGCAACATTACCTGGACCTTTCCATCAGCTGAGAGGATCCCATGCTTCCTCATTTCGTCTCGGAGCTCCGACACTGAAACGAATCCATCGTCGTTTTGATCCAGTTTAGAAAATAAACCACGAAACTGATCCATGGTGCATTTAGAAACAAGTCAACCCCAGTTTAAAAAAAATATGTTTAAAAAATATGCACTCTTCTTCATCAAGGGAGAAATGCATGCATTGATAAATCATCAGATATTATTGAGCTGCAGCTCTGCTCGGACGCTGACTCATTGGCAGCAGTGCTCAGTGCCAATGCAGCAGAAATGCTTACTTTATCTCAAAGAGAATTACTAATTCCCTCTATGGAGCAGCAGGTGGCGCTGCTGCTGCGAGAGAGCCCACCACCGTCCATCATCACTGTGCCCTCTCCTCTACATCCTGAACCTGCTGAGTGTTCACCAACAATACACAGGGGATTGTAGCAATACAAGGAAATATATGAACATGTAGGCCTACTTAATGTTGCTTGTGGTGGCAAAAAGGAAATAACTTTATCTTGGTTTAAACCACTGTAACCAATCATAGACAAACGCGTTGTGAGGCAAGTGGATACAATGGGAATGATCTGGAAGCTGAGGTAGGAATCAATGAAACACACACACACAGACACATGCACACACACAAATGTACAAAACAAAAGTACAGTAAAGTAAAATAAACTAGAATAATATCAATATTCTGCCTCTGTTGGTCAGTGGTTTATGTGAAGAAAATTATAATTTTAGAAAATAGAATGTGCGTTAAGATATATATAAAAATTATATATATACATACAAGTACAAATAAGTAATAATAATACTTCTACACAGATTAGTACATTAAATTAAACCAAAAAAAACACTTTTAAGTTTGTCAAAGGTGAGGCGTAATTATGTCTATGTGAATACGCATTGCATATTTCACCTGTGTTAATCTCATAATTATATCACACACACACACACACTCACCGGAAGCAGAATTATTTCATATTTCTGAGCTTGACGTTGGCTCTGCGGATGGATGCAGGGAGGAGGAGGGAGCCGAAGCTATTTAAAGAGGGTCATCCAGTCACGGATAAATAGCAGAAGGTCCTCCGCGCTGACTAACCGCCTCTAAATGTTTTTCATCGTGCTCTGTGTGTCTGTCTGCGGCTTCATGTGTCCAGACTGAGCCTCTGCTGACAGCCATCCGACGACCAGCACTGCATACATCCCCTGCAAGGGTCTTTCGTGGTCTTTTTTACAAGGGGATACTTGGGGGTAAAAATGGGTAAAGATTACTATAAAACGCTGGGCATCTCCAAAGGAGCCACAGAGGAGGATATTAAGAAAGCTTACAGAAAACAGGCGTTGAAATGGCATCCCGACAAAAACAAGTCTGCATCAGCCGAGGAGAAATTTAAGGAAATCGCTGAAGCATATGAAGTGCTGAGTGATCCGAAGAAAAGAGAAGTTTATGACCAGTATGGAGAGGAAGGTAAGGTGTTTTTATTATTTTAATGTAATTATATTTTGTGTCACACCTTCAATATAGCCTACCGGTAAAATCCCGTTACAAAGCCGGATTGACTGGATGTAAAGCACAGCTGGCTTTAATTCAAGTCTCTCTGTAACCAGCAGGGTTAAAAACAGCTGTTCAGCACATCATAGGCCTAGATCTGTGCATCTATTATAAGAATTATCAAATGCACCATATCTGCAGTTATAATAAGCCCCTGTTATGAGAGAAATAAAGGCCTGTCACCATTTCCAGCTCAGACTTTCTTACAAATGTGTTTAATATACATTGTTTTATTTGACAGGGATAGTGCATATGTCCTAAGCATATAATTATAAACTAATTTACATCTGAATTGAATTGATCATATCAAAGCATTTGTGCACAGTAGGCTATGTCGTACCTGCCATGTCGTATCTGAATCTGAACAGATGGTAATGGGTGGGAAGCATGATGTGAGGAAGGAGAACATATCACAGATAATCTCCTAAAGCTCCCATAGGCCTATAAAAAACTAAATGAGGCATATTAAGCTTTTTTACCATTTCATTTAGCAAATGTGGAAAACATATTAAGAAAATGTGTACACTCTGTCTCCTTTAAAGGCTCACTCAATCCATGCAACAAACAGAGTATCTGAGTTTTTTATACATTGGTGATAACATGGAAGTTGTTATCAGAAATGCCCATGAGTAGACATGAGTGAACACCTGAGTATATGATATATAAAATCCACACAACTGGAAGATGTTGAGAGTGTATGGTCTCAGCATGTGTCCAGCATAGACTGTCCATTAAAAGATACAACATTTGACCTACATTTACAAGTGTTGGAGACGCATTAGGATCATTCTTATGTAAGGGAACATGACACTGAGGCTTTTTTTGACAGTGCTATATGCTGGCTAAGGCAAATTAATGATATAACACATACAATTTTTTTCTAATTACATAATAAGAAATGTATCTTTGGTGAGGCATAATACAGCATTTTTTACCACTTTCCCCTGAAACTAACCTTATGATTCAAACATTATTTAAATAGCTTGTTACAAGAGGACTTAACAATTCAATTCTACTGTCTTGGGGACTGAATGGTCAATCTATGCATCATTTGTGGAATAAAGCTATCACACTGTTGAATGTTGATGACTGATGGATCATTCTATCTCCCATCAGGTCTCAAGGGAGGAAACGGGCCCACGGATGGACCGGGCAACACCTTCACATACACCTTCCATGGAGACCCTCACGCCACCTTCGCCACTTTCTTTGGTGGCTCCAACCCCTTCGATATGTTCTTTGGGCGTAAAGCAAACGGTCGGGACGACGACGACATGGAGGTGGACGGAAACGACCCCTTTGGTTCCTTCAGTAACTTCAACATGAACGGCTTCCCTCGGGACCCTCACAGTGGACCTGGAGGGCCACGCAGGAAACAGGACCCCGCCATCGTTCACGAACTGAGGGTCACCCTGGAGGAGGTCTTCCACGGCTGCACCAAGAGGATGAAAATCTCTCGCAAGAGGCTAAATCCAGACGGCAGGACCATGCGCAACGAGGATAAGATTCTCACTATCGAGATCAAGCGAGGCTGGAAAGAGGGAACCAAGATCACGTTCCCGCGGGAGGGGGACGAGTCGTCCAATACCATTCCTGCGGACATTGTTTTCGTCATCAAGGACAAGCCACACCCTCACTTTAGGCGGGAGGGCTCAAACATTGTGTATCCTGTGCGTGTCAGCTTAAGACAGGTGAGTTATTTTCTGTTCTGGCACCCACTCATGACTGTGTGTTGTATTATTAGAGTCTGATAGATGGATTAGTCACACACAGGGGTGTTTCAGATCAAGCTCATATTTATTTTAGAGTGCTGCTTTAATGCTCTGATGCTCAGAAACAGGTGGATTCCCTTAAAAGTGGTTTTCCCTGGAAAGTACATGTGTCCTGAATGAGCATAGTACCAAACTAAACACACACTTTAGCTTATGTAATCTTCAACATTGAGAAATAGGAGCCGTTTCACAGGGAGGGCAGAGAGGCGGCGGCCGCCCACATGCAGACATTTCAAGATGTACTTTTATGGTTCCTCCTACTCTCCTCAACACTTTGAGATTTCAGTGCTTCAGCTCTGAATATGTGAGCGATACATGCGAATGGTAGCCGATCAGTTCTGTGCGATGTGAATCATCACTTGTCACGTTAAAGGTTTCCAAACACATAGCTTCATTTCTTTGCTTTTCTGCTAAAACATATTTTACAACTATACTCAAATACAGTATATCAACATGACTTTAATCTGACCTCCAAGAACACTTTCCACAGCATGTCTTAGTCTTCCTCAGAAATACAAGAGAAAGCACAATGATTATATCCAACTCCAAATACGATCTTTGAATAGAGAGATTACGGACAGCTGCTATCATGTGATGACAACTGAGCAATCTCCTCGACAGCTGAGCAAACTGCATCCAATAATATAGACTGTTGATGTGTTTATGGATCTTAAATGGACCTTATGTAAAGATTATTTTGAAACAACAGTCGTATAATTTGCTCAGTGCTCAATTAATTAGGTCTAGGTGTTCAATTACCTTGGCTTTTTGTGTGGGTCTGTGAATAAATATACAACAGTCATTTATAATTGTGGTAAACTCTTATCAATTAATCAATGTTTATTTATATAGCCCAATATCACAAATGTTACATTTGTCTCAGTGGACTTCACAGTTTGTACAGAATATCAGTATGACAATACGACACCCTCTGTCCTTAGACCCTCACATCGTACAAGGAAAAACTTCCAGAGAAAAACCCCACAGTAGGAAAATGGGAGAAACCTCAGGGAGAGCAACAGAGGAGGGATCCCTCTCCCAGGACGGACAGACGTGCAATAGATGCCGTGTGTAAATTGAAAAGATAATACATTTGCAACATAGGTAGTCCAAATGTTTGGAAATGCATGTGTGTAGATGCGGCGGACAGACGGGTCTCAGTTGGTTTGGTGTCCTATGCTTACTTTAATACTTGTAAATAAAACTTTTCGCCCATNTTACAATAAGTGCATTCGACCAACACGATACAAACTTAAAGAAAACAGAATCATATAAGTACATCAGGTTTCATAGAGCCAAAACATTTCAAGTGTTACTCAACTGGCTTTAGATAAGCCAGTCCTTTATTAGTATATAAGTGCTTTTATAGCAATATATATATTATATTCCCTGAAACCTTTAAGGTTACTGTTTGTGGCCTAAGGAGGTCAAAATATGAACTGTTAAACAAACACTAAGTCTTACAAAACAGTGAACTGAAATGATGCAACTTCATGTAGTTGTAATCAACTTTGATTCTTCTTTCCTACCCTTTTAATCACAGCCCCCAGATGTATCTTGTGACTGTTCGAGACTCCTGAATTGTAAAACACCTGACCAAACCTAACTCCACCTCAACCAAGTACATTAGTGAAATGCTGTTTACTCATATTTGCATCAGGGACAGGAGCCATTTGTCAGCCAAATTACTACTTTTACTTTTGATCTTTTGGTGGATTTCGCTGTGAATACTTGAATACCTACAGTACATTTCCACTGTGGTATTCCTGCATTTACTTAAAGGTAGGGTAGGCAATTCACTTCAGAAACACTTTTTGTTATATCCCATGGAATGCTCTTAACATCCCGATAGCAATGAATATATTAAATGCTTTGACAATAAATACATAAAAAAACGTCATCTCTGGAAGCCGTAGTGCTGTAAAAAGCACGACCAATCATCTGAGCCGGCCCAGCTAAAGTAACTGGATGGCCTACCTGCCTGTCAGCCTTCCATCTGTGCACAAACTTATCTCGTGCCCTGTTCATGTGCGCATTCGTGTGTGTTGGAGGAGGGGCTCTGTAAGGAAGTCTGAAGGAAGAGGCAGATTTTTTCCTGTTGTGTACTTTCAAATTCTAGCGCACTCGAGCTGGTTTCTCCATTCTTACCTACCCTACCTTTTAAGTAAAGAATCTTAAGTCCTCCTCTCACTACTGCAAGATGAATACCAGCAGTAAAGGTTTGGGTAAACAGTTTTATAAGTTGCTTTTCTTAGAGATTATCCACGTGGTGTCCATTAAAAGTCAACTTTTATTGTCTCACGTCAAAGCTATATGATGTTTGCAAAGGCACGCCCTGCCAGCATTGCGTGGTGCACACCTTTAACTCTGCAATATTAAGATTGCTCTGTCTTATCATCATTATAAAGTCACTGGATACCTCTATTTTTAGATACAGTTTCATTCAGCATTATGTTTTTCTGCAGGGCAAGCAGTATGAAAAGCATGTTAATGAGGAGGAGATACTGAAAACAAAAGCCGGCTGTTTCCTCCTCTCAGCCCAGACTGCTTAAGCTCATCTTTTCAAAGGAAAGTGTGAGTGTCATGTTTGGCTTTTGTCAGCCTGAAATACAACTAAATAGTCCGGCGTGGCAGCCTGTTATCAGTCTGCTGTGCTGTAAAATCAGCAGACAGGAACTTCCTTCCCCCAAAGAGATACAGTTGCTTCATCCAACAAGTGTGACAGTTGGAAAAGGAATTTCTCAGGTGTCATGGTACACCGTGAATCACACAAAGACATCACAAAAGATGTACATGTGATAAGAGGAGCGTTCCTTGAAACTCACCATTTGACCGTGGGAAATGTTCTTGAGGCTTTAACTGCAGTTATTCACTCAGCTATGTTCTATGGGTATATGTTATATCATGTCTATCAATAACACTCATTAGGACTGTTCTGTCTAGACTTGTTTAGTACAGAAACTGCCTTACTGCCATTTCTTTTCCTAACAACAAGCACAGAAGAGGAGCTAATGGGATTTTGGATTTGGGCACATTTCTAGCAGCTTGTTTGAAACTACTGGTACTCAAACCTTTATGTCTCTGAACACTGCCCTGCTTAAGTGTCTTTGAGCAAATCATTGATGGTGTGCCAGCTTTAGCACTATTGTTTTGTATAGGGATAGGAATTGAGAACCTGTTCCATTTGAGAACCGGTTTGAAATATTCCAGGGAAGTGAAAAATGATGCCTCAGAGGTTTTTCATTTTTATTGACGCAGTCATGGTTTTCCGATAAGTGCATGTTGCGAAAACTCATACCGAATGATGTGAAACTCTGCTTCGACGCTGCTGGAATTGTTCAAAAAGTCATGGCCAAGCAGGCTTCATCTCACGAAGAAAAATCACAACAGTTCTACTTGTAATATCTGTCAAAGGGTCATTACAAGTAAAGGTGGAACACTACTAACACCACTAATAGGTGGAAAGGGCTTTTGATGTAAAACAGGCTTGAATTCCTGGAATTCCATGTCTTTAACACACCCTCTACTCAGTACGCACGATTGACACTGCTTTCCAACTGAGCAGCAGGATGTCTACCAGGGTTAAATATCCAATCTTATAACTACACTAGCGCCACATAGGCAGGATAAACAAATTGTTATTATTAAATAATACAATTACTGGGTTGAAGCTTAAAGCCGGTGAAGGCTTATTTTTCCCACAAGGACATTCTTAAGGATTAAACAAGGAAATATACAAAGAATTGTATCGATAAGCAACATCGATAATGTCATTGATATTAATAAAATCATATCAATTCAATCCCTTGTCCGACCCCTCTGTAAAGTTAGTGAAAATCGATATAACCGGCCTAGTAAAGATTCCCAATGTTGTTCATTTTGTCGTTGCCACCTGAACAGTTTCCTGCTGAAATCATGCTTTGAGTCTTGCCAAGCAGGTAACAAAAGAAAAAGATCAACCCACATTTTCAACAAAGCTTCATTCTTGGTGTATAAAGTTTGTGTGCCACTTAATGGTCTATTCTGAAAAGTGGAATAGTTAGTAACACGGAGACAAAGACAGACGCAGAAGGATGGAGTGTGAGTTGTTGTACTCCACAGCTTTTACCACAGGAAGTCCCTCACGTCCTGCTCGGTGGGCTTCGCCTCAAATCTGACCAGATAACTCGTCCCAGAGGACTCTGCCCAGGCCTCCTCCCTCCATAAACACCCCCAAACCTCCCCCTGCTGCGCATGTTGACTGGAGGTGACCTCTCTCTCCCAGAATAAAAATAGATAAAACAAACTACAATCTACTTTCCGATGGATACCTGCAAGTAAGGCTTTGTTCTGGTTCCAACGGTGTGCTACGATACCAAAATGACACTTCTCAATCTATAAAGAGGTGTTACTGATATTTTGTCCATTCTAAATTACCATTAAGTTAAAAAAGCATCTTTCTGTAACAGTTGGAACAAAACCTGAACATTATACATGTATGATTTATTGCAGGGGAAACTGACAGCATCCGATTTTCAGGAATTAAGATTCAAGTTGGATCTCAGTTTTCTGCTGTAGGATTTGATTATTTTCTCTATCTTCTTATCTACTTTCTTTATGATATGATGATGATATTTAATGTTAAAATGGTGTTAAATGGTCACATTATAGTCAGTATTATGGGGGAGGAGCAAGTGGAGGGTCCATTGCATCATGACATTTTTTTTTTTAACATAACTGTCAAACACAGCCTACTCTCAAAATGTGCTGAAAGAAAATAATTCCCACTGAGATCACACTTAAGCCATCTGCTTTAGCTCTTTAATCAACATGAATATTTACTTGATGTACTATTAATACACATTTACATATACAAAATATCACAAGTAGCTGTAAATAAAAGATCAAATCTGAGCCATAGACCTCCATATCAAGAAAATTATTCTTTTACACATCCCACAGAAAGGATATAGTTAAGGATGGTTTTAAAAGTAATTTGTTGTGTCATTTTAAATTAGAAATCAGACACTATTTAGACTTTTTTTTTCATGTTATCAATGTAAAATTACCGTAATTTTCGGACTATAAGCCGCGCCTTTTTCCCTATTTTTCGAAGCTGCGGCTTATATAACGGTGCGGCTAATCTATGGATTGTTACAGCTAACGGCCAACACCTTTAACTCTAAGGGCTCTATGGCCGGTCCGCGGACCCCCACCTTTAAGCGGCGGGTTCCAGCAGGAAAAGCTGGAGGCCGGAAAAGAGTGAGACAGGTAGCGCGCAAAAGTAAAAGTGGAACCGAGAGTGGTATGCCGCTGCTGCGGCTTATATTCAGGTGCGCCTTATAGTCCGAAAATTACGGTAGATCTAAGTTAAAGGAGACCTATCATGCAAAATGCACTTTTTTATGTCTTTTATACATAAATGTGTCCCCGGTGTGTCGGGGAACTCACGCAGCGTCAGAAAATAAAACCCTCTCTCTTTTCCTCCGTACCCAAATCTCTAAAAACGGGGCCACAACGGAGCTGATCTAGATTTGCGTCCGATATGATGTAATATCGGAAATGTAGGCTGGCTTTACACCCACGGCCCTATCAGAAACGTTGCTATCAGAAACAATGCCCGACTGTTTTGGACGTAATATGGTCGGTGTTTACATTAGCATCGCTAACACTCAGAGCTAACCTGTACTGGAGAGCATGTGTGTGAAGAAGCAGGAAGTAAAAAGGAACTCACCTTGTGGTATAACCGGCAAGAGAGAAAGCCTTTGAGCTCCATAATGTTTCAGAAATAATCCTTGATAATCCATGATATGGCGTTTCATCACGGCAGTATTTAGTTTAGACAGTAGCTGCCGGGCCCCCTCCTTTTTTTATTTTTTATCAAACTTTTAATTTTTTTAAAGCTAAAAACCCCAA